GAGGAATAACGGATGCCTGTACAATCGGCGTCCGTGAAGGTGATGGGCTCGGTCCACTGCTTGGGCTGCTTGGAAGGTCGGTCTACCGTGTCCATTGCTTTGTTCGAGCCTCGCCTTATTTTCCTGAGCTCTGCCTTTTGAGCGGAGCGGGTTGGTCTGCCACAAGCAAGGCCACCAGAGATGACTCGGATTTCACCAACTGGCGGAGAGGGATTACCTGGGGGCCAAGGGTATTGTGGGAGGCGGTTATGGCCTTGGTCAGGTTGGGTTGGCTACCGAGGTGGGGTACGTCGGCGGTTGTTCCTGAGGGGCTCGGTTCTTTGCCTCTGTTGTGGGCGGGTGTCCGTGAATCGGCTGAGACGCCCTTGACGAATGAGGGTCTCGACCTGATCCTTGAGGTTGATGCAGTCATCAGTGTTGTGGCCGTGGTCCTGGTGTAAGCGACAATATTTGGACTGGTCTTTCCTGTTGGAAGGGGTCCGTGAAGGCAGGGGCCATTTGAGGGGGTAATCCTGTTGGATTTGGTGGAGGACTTGTTCCATGGGAGAATTAAGGGGCGTGTACTGCTCGAACCGACCGAGCGGTCGGGCCGGTGCTGACCGGTCAGTGCGAGGAGGTCGGTCGGGATATTGGGGCGTTTGGCTGTTATACTGGGTGTTTCTGGGTTCCGAGTCTTTTCTCTTTTCTATGGGGGGTGGGTTTTTGGATATTGGATCTTGGCGAGCGGCTAGTGAATCTTCGGCATTCATATATTTCTGGGCTTTGGATAATAGGGCTGCCATGGAGGTCGGGGGGTTTTTGGAGAGGGAGAAGAGGAAATCGGACGATCGCAGCCCGGCCATGAAAGCCGTAAGGATGACCTTATTGTCATTCTCCGCTACTTGTAGGGCTTCGGTATTGAAGCGGGTAACGAAGCTACGTAGCGACTCCCCCTCGGTCTGACGAATGTTGAGGAGTTGGGTTGCAGGGCGGGTTGGCGCTGGGATCCAATGAAATGGCTGAGGAAGGAGTCGCTGAGATGTTGGAAAGTGGAGACAGAGTCCACTGGTAACTGACTGAACCACAGTCAGGCTGACCCCTTCAGTGTCACGGGGAAAGCCCGACACATGATCTCGTCAGGGAAGGCATGGAGGATCATGAGGGTACGGTAGGTCTCCAGATGGTTAACTGGATCTGTCGTACCGTCAAAGGAGTCAATGGTGGGCATCTTGAACTTGGTGGTCAAAGGTTTGTCCCGGATGGAGGCAATAAATGATGAATTTACTGTGGTAGAGGGTTTATGCTGAATGTTCTGCATGACCCCTTGGAGTTGGAGCTTCATTGCTCGGAGCTCAGCGTCCCAGAGTAGAACGTGGTCCCCATGGTCAGTCAATAGAGGTTGGACGCTGCTGGCCTCCCCTTCAGGGGCTGGTGCTACGACCGACGGGTGTGGGGGTGGTGGGGGTGGATTTATGTGTGGGTGGGGAGGTTGCAAACCTTCCAGGTTGGGTGGATGGAGCTGTGGAGCAGTAGGGCTCGGGGTTCTTTCTTGGTTGGGAGGAATATCTGGAGGTGGTGGAGGAGGAATCGGAAGGTTCCTTTGGAGTAAAGCATTTATCAAGGCCTGGTTTTGCTCGGTCATACGGTTGATACTATTGGTAAGCTCGATAAAGTACTATGGTGGGTTGTTTGGATTGGGGGGGTCGACTTGATGGTCGGCAGCATTAGTGTGAGAAGCCATGTATCTAGTCGTGACCATGCACTTTGACGGGTAGGAGAGAAAGGTTGTTGGAATGGGGCCTCCGGCGACAGTGAACACAACTGGCGCGAGGAGCAAAGCGTTCCCACAGACGGCGCCAACTGTTAATGCTATTCGTCCCAGTGAATGGATCAAGCAGGTCTAAGCTCCTCAAGCCCGCGTCCAAATGATTAAGCCCATCGGATAACCTGCAGGCAAGTTCAACGGGGAACGGAGTAGTCCCCCAGTGAAGTCTCCGACGAGCAAGTTAGGAAGAGAAGTAGAGTATATGGGAGAAGATTAGAGATAGAAAACTTAACCTTTTTCTTGTCTACAACGTTCGCTTATATCCTTTGGTAATCATTTCGCTGTCCCTTCCGACCTGCTCTCCTTGCCGAAAGCCTATGCTGTAGTTTACCTTGCTCAGGGTAAGGGGGTCCTGTTCCGGCGGAGAGGTGTTGTCATAATAAATGCTGTGATGGGCTGCATTAATAGTGATGTGCAGTGGCAATAACTTTGCAGATCTTTGTCTGCTGATATGGTTCGTCTTTCTCTTGCCGTGTGTCTGAATGTCATTGGCTCTTTATGCCATGTTGGACTCCAGCTGTCCTGGACCTCGTCAGCTGGGTTATGCACTGGGCTTCAAGTGATGGGCCATAGGTGATTCATCTGCCAAAACTGTCTCCTCGACACCCATAATGACTTACCGTTTCATTTCTGGTCCAACGCCTAATCTCCCCCCTATGGGATGTTGCCACGTGTACGTCCACGATCCACTGTCCCCTCCCCTTATCCTGTCTTTTCCACTTCAACTCACCACGTGACCCGCTGCGTCTCGAGCCCCACGCCCCTCCACCTAACACCGCGGTCGGCCCTCCTCGTGGTCCGCCCTCCCACTCGGCCAACACCGCGGTCGGCCCTCCTCGTGGTCCGCCCTCCCGCTTGGCCAAACGCCGCGGTCAGCCCTCCTCGCGGTCGGCCCTCCCGCTCGGCCAAACGCCGCGGTCGGCCCTCCTCGTGGTCAGCCCTCCCACTCAGCCAACACCACGGTTGGCCCTCCTCGTGGTCCGTCCTCCCACTCGGCCAAACCCCGCGGTCGGTCCTCTTCGTGGTCAGCCCTCCCACTCGGCCAACACCGCGGTCGGCCCTCCTCGTGGTCCGCCCTCCCGCTCGGCCAAACGCCGCGGTCGGCCCTCCCAGTCGGCCAACACTGCGGTCGCCCCTCCTCGTGGTCTGCCCTCCCACTCGGCCAACACCGAGGTCGGCCCTCCTTGTGGTCGGCCCTCCCGCTCGGCCAACCACCGCGGTCGGCTTCCCCCCCTCGATCACCCCTTATGGTCGACCTCCATCTTGCCAATCCCTAACACACTCATCTATGTCACTAATATTCCCTTTGTTGGACTGAAGCTGCACTCGGGAATGGGGGACTACTGACATGTATAAGTCCATAAAGGCCATGAATCACCTATGGCCCATCACTTGAAGCCTAGTGCATAACCCAACTGACGAGATCCAGGACAGCTGGAGTCCAACATGGTATAAAGAGCCAATGACATTCAGACACACGGCAAGAGAAGGACGAACCACATCAGCAGACAAAGATCTGTAAAGTTATTGCCACTGCACATCACCATTAATGCAGCTCATCACAGCATTTATTACGACAACACCTCTCCGCCGGAACAGGACCTCCTTACCCTGAGCAAGGTAAGCTACAGCATAGGCTTTCGGCAAGGAGAGCAGGTCAGAAGGGACATCGAAATGATTACCAAAGGATATAAGCGAACGTTGTAGACAAGAAAAATGTTAAGTTTTCTATCTCTAATCTTCTCCCACATACTCTATTTCTCTTCCTAACTTGCTCGTCGGAGAGTTCACTGGGGGACTACCTGGTTCCCCGTTGAACTTGCCTGCAGGTTATCTGGTAGGCTTGATCATTTGGACGTGGGCTTGAGGAGCTTGGACCTGCCTGATCCATTCACTAGGACAAACAACATTAACAATTATTAATAGAAAATAAAATTAATCAATTTTTTAATTGAAAATACTACAAAGGAAATAATTTTTTTTCAAAATAAATATTCAAAAAATTTAAATCATAAATATTTAAATAATTTAAATAATCTAAAAAAATTAATAAGTAAAAAATTAAAATAAATGTTCAAAAAATTTAAATCGTAAAAATTTAAATAATTTTAAATGTAAATATAACTCTACACTCAAATCGTAACCAAACACATAAAACAAAACTCAATTAAGAAATTATTTTTAAAACTCATAACCAAACACATAATTCGAAACTCCATATTACTTTCACAACTCTATACTCAAATCGTAACTAAATACATAACAAAAAAATTAAAATATTTAAAAATATTTTTATAAAATAGAGTTTGAATTTATTTTTATAAAATATTTTAAAATGTTGAAAATTAAAATCGTAATATTTTGAAATTAAAATATTTAAAAAATAAAAAAATAAAAAAAATCGTAACATATTTAAATATTAAAATATTTAAAATCTTAACAAAATTAAAATATTAATTTGAATTGAGTTTTGAAAAGAATTTTGAATTACATGTTTAGTTATGAGTTTTGAAAATTAATGATTATATTTTAAATTAAATTTTAAAAAATAAGTGTAGAATTATAATTTAAAAATTCAAAACAAATAATACACTCAAATCAATAGATAAAACTATAATGTCAACTGTTTACCAAAGGGAGCCTAACTTTTTATCAACTTACCAAAACCCACTATCCCGTTTGGTGTAACTGTTAAAACAGCTTATAGATTAGAACTTAACAGATTATAGATTATGACTTTAATCAGAAGTTGTTAATCTGTTTGTTTGGTGTACCTGTTGGATTATACATTTAAGTTGCTGAGTAGTATTTGTTAAATAAGCTGTGAAATAGTTTTTTCAAATAATTTTTATTTTTTGTTTATCTACATTTCTCATAAAAAATAATAATAATAATTTATAGTTCATTTGAGTCTTTTTCTATTTTTAAAAAAATAAAAAATAAAAAAATTTAAGAGTATAATCATAAATTAACATGTCCACAGCAGAAGCTGATAATCCGAAGCAAGAGATAAACAACTTCTCAGAATTAATTTTTTTAAGTTAAAATAAATTGTTAAAATAAAAAATAATTGAAATAAATTTAACCAAACAATTTAAAATAATTTTTTTTTAAATTAAAAGTCATAAATTAACTTTGTTAAGCTGAAACAAACATCCCATTATCCAACTTAACCTTCTCTCCCTTATTTTCTCTCTCTCTCTAGCCATTTGTCTTCTTCATTCTTAATTCTTCATTCTTCTTTTCTCTCTCTCTCTCTCTCTCTCTAAGCATGAATTTGACACTCATCTCTGGCTCATCTCTGGAATTATCCCATAAACCCTCTCTAAACATGAATTTGACACTTATCTCTGGAATAATCCCATAAACCCCAGAAAAGCAAACCCATTCAAATACAATTTTCCACAACAAAAACCAGAGAAAAACAAGGAAAAAAAAGCCACTTTCTTTCTCATTTTCTCTTTCGATTGTCATGCATAGGTCTGGAGCTGTGATGGCTTGGAATGTCTTCAAGTTCTGTACCGCCCTTCGAGGCCTTGGCTCGATCATGATCTTGTTGGTCCTTGGCGTTGTGGGTGTTACCTATTATGCTGTTGTTGTATCCAATTATGGCCCTGCTTTGTACGATGGTGGTCTCGCTTCTCTCACTGCACTCGCTGTCTTGATCTTGTTTCATGTTCTTGTAAGTTTTCTTAAAATTTTCAATCTTTCTCTGGGAATTTGTTTCTGGGTTTTGGTTTTTAGGGTTTCGTTGTAGTTTTTCTGGGTTGTGAATTTTTGACTTTTGCTTTATTTTTATGTAATTCGAAGTGAGTTTGTATATAATTTAGCAAAATGAGATTGTTAGAAGTGTCTTGTGCTGTGATGTATGGAAATTGAGGTCTTTAAAAGCTGTAAATAAGTTTTATTTTGTTTTTTTCTTGATTTGTTCTTAAATCTGATTGACATTGTTTAGGTTTTATATCAGATTGAGCTCAGAATATTGTAAGAAATTGTCAAGTATAATTATGTTACTTTCTTAATGTGTTTGCTAATGTATTGGCTACAAGGTTTTTTTATTGTTATTTATGTTTAGAAATTATTAATTACAATTGGATTGATTGAAGGAACTTATCTCACAATTTTCACTCATCATCAGTCATATGAAAATATCACTATCTTTCATTATGTAATAATTACCTGATCGAAGGTCTTTGACAATTTTAGTGATATTTAGCTCTATAATGTCATTAAGAGTTTGGGATATACTGATTTCTGTATTTTTCTTGAATTAATTGAGATCCGGACAAGAACAGGGTTATGCAGTTTTGATTTTTATTTCCATGAACCGAAAAGTGGCAGCTGATATATTTATATGCAAACGGTAGCTAAAGAGGCATGTAATCATAATAATTGTGCAGTTAGTAATGCTATTGTGGAGTTACTTTGCTGTTGTCTTTACCGATCCGGGTAGTGTGCCACCTAATTGGAGGCCTGTGTCGGATGAGGAGAGAGGTGAGACCGATCCATTGACTGAGGCAGAATTTGGTGGTATGTCAGCAGACCCAGTGAATCCAAGGATCCGTTATTGTCGGAAGTGCAACCTGCCGAAACCACCTCGGTGCCATCATTGTTCTGTTTGTGAGTTCACATACCCAATTCTTCTTGAGACTGTTTTCTTTTTCAATTGTTTCGGAGAAAATAAATCAGATATATTACTTTTTGTTTTTTTAAATTTTTTTTTACATATATTATTTTCAGGTGGGAGGTGTGTGCTGAAAATGGACCATCATTGTGTGTGGGTTGTCAATTGTGTGGGGGCATTGAACTACAAGTATTTTCTTCTTTTCCTGGTATGTTTTTCTTATTATTGAATCATTGATACTATTTGTTGGTGGATTTCACTCATCTGTGGATTAAATTGTTTGTGAAAAGTAAACCGTCCGAATTTGTATATACATTTATGTACTGGTTGCAAACATTAAATGCATTAAGTAATGTTACTAACTATTAATTTGGTTTTTTTTGCTTTCGGAGAATCTTATCCTCAAATTCTTTATACACTTGCCCTACTTCTAGATGAATAGCATTTATTATGATGATTTAGAGGACATATATATGTTATTCCCGTTTCGTTGCTGACCAATATATATATAGTATATTAAATGTTAGACTCTTTTTGTAATTTTAATGCACATGGTGAATGTGGCATCAGGTAACATAGGCATGCAAGGGTCTGTTGTAGTTCGTGATTGTAGCTTTTGTAACACGCTGAATGACTTTCAATTGTTTTCTGGTCCCGCCCCCCTTCCTGTGTGTGTGTGAAAAATGTATTTAAAATATGATAGTAGTTTGTTAAACTCCCTTAGAAAAAGGAGGTTAAAACAGAAGATTCGTGTGATTAGTGAACTTTGGGTGACCACGATTCTGCGATGAGATATTTTTCTAAGATGTGAGGGTGTGTTGTGGAAGAGCTGTGTGGTATGATTAGGCATTTATAGAAACCTTTAATGGCTTGTTGCAGCATGTTTTTTTCGTTGCTCACTGAAATAGAAATTTGAGCTAGGAGGATTTTCTTGGGATTTGTTTAGAAAGCTTGTTTACAAATTTTCTTGGATAGAAAATTATATATTGTGCATTCGAATTTTTAATAGTCGGTTTATAATAACTTTTAGAATTTGAAAACATTTAGGCGTGGGAAAGTCAATATAAACTTGGCCAACGATAGTAAGACCTTGAAAAGAATTCAAGATTTTTTAAACTATAAATGGCCAAGTTGGTAGATTGCTATAAAATTGTAGAAGGTGATAGCCAAGGTTTCAAAAAGTGGTGTTATGTAACGGTTGTGGCGGTAGGCGCTACCCATTGCACTTGCTTTTTTGGTGTGATAGAAATCGCATGTATAACGGCCGTAGCGGTACCGTAACGGCTTGTTACACACCAAAAAATAAAAAATAAAAAAATAAAGTTTACAAAAAAAGAACTAATATTTAAGTGATCCAAATCCAAAGAAAAAACCTTGTATGAAATTTTTTTTCTTTATAATTTTTTTTAAATTTTTTTATTGCATTACATTAGCATGTAAAATAAAAAATATATAAACAATGGTTGTATTTATTTTTATAATCATTTTATTTCATATTTCCTTGCTTCAACAAATCTAACTTAAACTATTAAATCTACCTGCATTCAACTAAAAAAAATAATGAAAAAAATCATGGAAAATAACAAAAAAATGTTTGAAAATTTTGGATTGAAGATGAAGAGACTTAAGTTGTGGTAGATTTGTAGATTTATGCTTCAAGTCTTGTGCATCCAAGCTTGTTTCAAGTTTCGGAGGTTTATAGTGACCTTTGTGGTAGGGCGGGCAACTGAGAAAACAAGGCAAAACATTGAAAAAAGAAGTATGCTGTGTCTAAGCGACAGCTAGTGTAACAGCGCTGTACTTCCATTATGCTTGTTACACAAGGTTGTTGCATAATGCCGTTACTTCATTAATTTCATTCACACCACAATAGCAGCAAATATTGGTTTTGGTAACTCCCAAAACCGCTATGTAATGGTTTTTTGAATCATTGATTTGGAGTTGCTCTTGTAAAAGCACAGTAGGTTTTCCTCTAGGAAAAGGATTTGTTGTGTCCTGTTACTTGATGATTTCCGAAATTAATTGAGAGTCAAATACTTATAAAACCAGACGAAACTCACAACCCAACACCAAATTAATCTAGATGCCTCGTGAAGAAGAAAATTGCTAGATTTCTCTGAATTTGAAGAATCATAAAGAAACCCCTTATTATAGGAAAAAATGATTTCTCTATTTGAAAAGATAAAAAATTAAGCGAGGTCAACCATAGCGAGTCTTCAATCATGTGACACCTATATTTGGACCTATTGGTCTGTTGGTGGGGCCTAGTATTCCATTGGTTGTTTGGATATGAATGTATAAAATTCATTAGGGTAAGATTATTACCCATGCATTTCAATTTAATTTTTGATGCACAATATTAAAGTGGGGACATTTTTGTGGGATTTGTTCCTTTTAGGTAGTTTAGGGTTGGCATAGTTGTATTTCATATTGGAATCCTACCAATGTGGAAGACGTGGATAAGGGTTGTGGGTACTTGTATCAAGCTCAATACGTGGCAAGCCCACATCACCAAAACCCCACTATTGGAATCCTACCAATGTGGAAGACGTGGATAAGGGTCCTCTTTGCTCCTGTTGTGGAAACATATTGCTAAATGTTAATCATGGTAATATGTTCTACCACTAGCTGTTAACTTTAGTGGCTTCTCTTTCCTCCCTCATATGTCGCAGAGTTGAAACCCTCTTGGGACTGGGGGCTTTGTGAGTGAACCAAAAATTGGTAGTGCCTATTCTCAATTCTTCGGGTTCATGGTGTGGACATTGATTGAGAACTTGTAATCAAACTTATACTCTTGTTTTCAGATTTCTGATTCATCTTCAGCGCCACTGGCTCACATGCATTAGTTCCAGAGCATCACCTCTCAATTCTTTTTTCATTGAGTTTTGTGTCAATTTAATGTGTGTGTGTGTGTGTGAGAGAGAGGGAGAGAGAGAGAGAGAGCGCTAAATGCTAGTTGGTGGCTTTATTTGCTATTGCTAAATTGTAGATTATATTATATCAGTACAAAGTTCATCTTGCTATCCACTTTGAATTCTATGACTCTAGATGCACAATTTGCGCCAAAAGGAGGAAGAAGAGCTCGACATGTGCAAAGGCCAACTCACAGTTTGTTGTCAAGGAAATTCTCCCTCTGCTATTTTGTGTATAAATAGGGAGGGGTAAAGATACAAGTGAGAACACAAGTGCGTGAGTAGCAGAATATACAAGCGAGAGTATATTTTTGTGAAGTTGAGAAGAGAGTAATGAGTGTAAGACAGTGGAGAGTGTGAGTTGAGTGAAAGATTCTCCTCCTCTTTTATAATCTCTATTTATTTTAGTGGAAATCTCTTGTTCCCTCCATGGACGTTGGCATTGAGGCCGAATCACGTAAATCTTATGCGTCATTATTGTGTATTTTATTTATGGTAGTTTAGGTGGGTTGGCCTTAAAACCCAACAATTGGTATCATAGCTCAGGTTGAGCAAAGGAGGCAAAACAAAGGCTCGGTACTCTGTTTTTTGAAATGGCTAGAAATCAAACAAGGAGAACCGTCTCAACGAGAGGAGTCTAGACCCATAAAGAAGAGCCCGAGAGGATCTAGGACGTGCTCGCACGTGCTTCTAGAAGTTGGAAAGTGAAGGCCACGTGCATACATGTGGCACACGCTTCTCTAAAGGTTGAAGACAACCATTTGTTGCCAAACTTGATGATTTAAATGTTGGTTTGGGTCAATGGTTAAGAGTGGTGGTGCTAACTCCTTGGTCTAGAGTTCAAATCTCCCTGACTATGTTTAAAGATTAATTTGTTTTTTTTTATTTTCAAGTACAGCGTTGAAGCGGGAGGTGACGTTAGCAAGGCAATTGGGTGGTCCGAATTGGTTAGGCAGAGAAGTTTTGGAAATTGTAATTTGGTCCCTGAAGTTTTCAAAAATTACAATTTGTTCACTAAATTTTTGTAAATTTTCATTTTGGATCCTATAGTTTGAGAAATTACAGTTTGGCCCTAGGGGTTTGAGAAATTTGCTATTTAGTCCTTGGTTTTGGGGGTTATTTTTAGTTTGGCCCCTAAAGAGGAAATAAGTATGTTCCTAGCCAAACACAATGTTCCGGTTGCAACCACAAATCATAGTAGTCAAATTTTTTGAACTCTTTTTGCGGAGATCGAAATGGCAGGGAGAAGTTCAAGTTTCATGATTGAACTTTTTAATGGATATAATGATTTTATCCTGTGGCAACAAAGGGTGAACAACATTCTAACACGGGAGGATTGGGTGAAAGCTCTCAACAAGAAGCCTGACAAACTGGTGACATGAAGGATGACAAATGGGCAGAGATGGAAGAACTGGCAAATAACATGACATAGTTATATCTCGGGAATAACACACTATGAGAAGTCATCAATGAAGAAGATTTGGCAAAGCTTTGGGCAAAGTTGGAAATGAGATATAAGTCAAAGTCTTTGACAAATTGGTTGTCTTTGAAGAAGCAATTGTATGCGCTTCAAATGATAGAAGGAGCGAACCTTACAGAACATCTGGATGAGTTCAATAGTCATACGATGGAGTTAGATTCGATTGGGGTGAAAATCGAGCAGGAAGATAAGGTTATTATCTTGTTGGTCTCTTTACTTTCGTCATATGAACATCTCAAGACTACTCTGATGAAGTGGTTGTTATGAGGAAAAAGGAAAGCAGCAAGCACTCAGAGGGGAATGCCATGGTTGCATCAGAAGATGATCAGGGTAAAGGCGAATCCAGTGAGAGATGGGGTAGATCCTAAGAAGCACAGACATTTCTAAAAAAGTAACGTATCCGTGTCGTGTCGTGTCTGTGTCGGACACCGACACTCTTTGGATATTTTCCCGATACATGTCCGACACTCTTTAAAACGTGTCCTATTTTTTAAAGACCCGGACACTCGGAGGACACATGTATATTTCTTAAACACACGTATCTATCGATTAGACACATGTGAAACTAATTATAAATTTGAATAAAACAACTTAAGATACAATAATAAAACAAAAACCCTATAAATTTATAGGGATTAATGTAATATTGCATTTTTTTATAATCTTTGAATGATATATTCATATATATAACATATAATAAATATATAAAATTATATATTTCATGTGTGTCCCCCACGTGTTGTGTCCTTTATTTTTTGAAAACTAGCGTGTCGGCGTGTCCATGTTGTATCCATGTCGTGTCACGTGTCCGTGTCC